TCAGATCATATGCCATGAATTTCTGTCATTTTACTTATTCTATTGCTTTAGTTTGTGTGTGTTTAAATATAATTTAAACACACTTAAAAATTTGAGGACTAATTTCTGAGCAATTCCTGGCGCTTTCGCCATTTATTTAAAAACCTGACTAGTCCACAGGATATCATTTCTACCTTTCCCAGCATTTTTCCAATTAATTTTCCTGAGTAACATCGACTCCAGAGCATCATAACTAGCCTCCCCAAAGAGGGGAGGAGACCCGGGTCACCCCTAACCCGGTTGTTCGGGCATCGATGACCCATGTAGCATGCATAGGTACCAAGGGAGTCACCACCCCTCTGGTTTACGAGCTAGGTGTTCTAACGCTAGAGGCTTCGGCCGGATACGACCTGGCACCCAAGTTCGAGACTTCTTCGTGCACGTATTCCGTGACCCCTCGAAGAGGCAGGGGCGGATATCGGACACATTGAAGATGATGAGGGGGTCCGCCTGTGGGGTCCCTGGTGGATGTCCGTCTGATGGGTGACGAGGGTGACCCGAGACGAGGCTGCTTAGCTGGGATGGGAACTGACTGGTGAGGCTTAATCGTCGGCCAAGGGTTAAATCTGATGAAGGGGGGCGAAATTATATGCTCTGGAGGATTTTTCTTTTTGTGCTTGTGTCTTATTTTGACTAGAAATTCCTCAGAGGAGGCTAAGCATAACTTTTTGTCAATTTTCCAGTTCTTATTGACCACATACCTCTTTATTTTCGTTAATATCATCTAAAACTCTTTGTCCCATCTTGCTTTTGGCCTGCCTCTATTTCACTATTTTTGTCTGCCATATTTTCTTTATTGGAATATTATCATTCATCAATTCTATAAACTCTCCCAATGATTGTTATATATATAATTCTATATTATTTTTGTCATTCTTGTGAGACGTTTCTACGATATATTTTATCAATTCTAGTGCCTGAATAGAATGTACCCCCTATTTTTTAATCATTTCATGTCATTTTCCAATCCATAATATCTCTATTTCACCAAATCATCAAATATCGTCACCATCATATAGGCATATAAAGTCTTCTATTGCTTGTTATATTTGTGTTTAACTTTGTAATCCTTTTTTAATTCTTTTTTTGTCAGACTTTTCTAAGCCATAGCATTTTCACATTTCTATTGCCTGTATAGAATTACAGCTTATTTTTTTATAGCTGCTATTCTGATACTTCAAACTCTTTGATTTGATTTCTGTATTGTTCTGGATTCATTTTCTAATTGTTTTTTATTCCATTTCTAAGTCCGTTTAAAACTGATTTTTTAAATGGCATATTGTTATATTGTACTGCTTTGGAAACTTTGGAACAAGGATTTTTTAGAACTGCTGCACTTCAATGCAGCCACCCTCTTCAAGATGCCATTAGGTCGATTAAATTCAACATTCAACAGTGGAGTGGGGATGGAATTTATCATTGAAGAAGATGCTTATTAATTTTAGGTAAATTATAATAAAAAATGTATTTTTTAAATTGAATTTGTTTAATAAATACGTAATATCGTATTTTATAAGTAAAACATATAGATATTAAATATGTAGATGTATAAATGATTGATTTCAAATAAAACGTTTGGCGCCTATTTTATTTTATTGTATAGGCAACTAAAAAATACACTTGACGTGTATAATGAGTTGCCTATATAGAAAGTTTGAATTTTTTAATTTAGTTTTTCAGGCTTTAATATTATAATTAAAATATTTCTTAATTACAAAAACAGCTTAAACACGTTTTTCTTTGTATTAGTTTTAAAAAATGTGCTCTATGTTACCAAGATTCCTATATATCTTATATTATTTTATGTACCCAATATCAATTTAGCGAAAATTTAAAGTTATAGAAGTAATAGTTTTTAATCAAGCTTGTTAGTGAACAAATAATTAATTATTTCTTTATATGTTTGTTACAGAACCAAGACTTTCCAGAAGAGTAGCCAGAAGATTTATTTGCCTCAACATAGACACCAGCATGTCCATCAATAACATCTTGGATGTTAAGATACTTTTTATATTACTCTTGTTAATAAAATATAATATGTTAATAAATAATTATTAAAAATAAATGTGTTTAATTTAACCATAATATACCTCGTAGAAATACTGTCTAATCCTGAACAAAAAGAAAAAGTTTTGGAAAAAGTCATTTAATTATCACAAAATTAATATATTCTAATAATAAACAACTTAACAATTTGTTCAGAAATAGACAGTATTTCATATAAAAATAATACCTAAGATTACCTCCTCGCTCTTATGCACTCCTGATACAAATCCGAGAAAATTCAGCCTCTAACAAAAATCGAACGAAAATTTTTAATCCTTGTCCAAAATCACCGGTTTCTATCAGGAGCACATAAGTGTGAACAGGTGTAGAGTAAACTGAGTACCAAATTTACCTCCTCGCTCTTATGTACTCCTGATACATATCCGAGAAAATTCAATTTTTGTCAAAGACTGCACGAATATTTTTAAACCGCGTCCAAAATCGTCGATTTCTATCAGGATCGCATAAGCTTGAAGAGGTAAGGAGCAAATTTACTACCACACTTAATAAAGTATTTTTCAACGACATTTCTGCTATCTCTAACACTTCGAACTCGTTTCCAAACTTCAACGACTAATATCTCGGAAACTATAAGGGCTAGGGAGGAACGGAGAGCGGCTTTCGATAGGGAATTCAACCCTCTATAAGGGCGCAAAACCAGGGCGCGATCGGAAACAAAAAAAAAATTTGGCGAAAAATGAGGTAAGGGGTTAACCTTCCTTCATTTTGGCCCAAAAATTTTTTTTGTCTCCGATCGCGCCCTAATTATGCACCCTTATAGAGGGTAGAAAGGCGAATCGAATGCCGCCCTCCGTACCTCTCTAGCCCTTATAGTTTAGAAGTTATGGCCGTTTTTCCAAAAAAATCTAGCAATCCTAACTCGTTGGTCAGTTGCTCCAAAATTTGCCAGGTCGAAATTATTTTTGATCGGTTTTATTAAAAACGGAGAAAAATTGAATTTGTATCAGGAACATATGAGTGCGAAGAGGTATTTTTCGATACCAGGAGTAAGCGGTGCTTTCGCCATTTAGTCAAGATATTTAAATAATGTCAGATAGAGAATAGAATTCTTAAATTTGTATCAGGAGCATATAAGAGCGAGGAGGTATTTTTCGCTACCAGGAGCAGCCAAGAGTAAGTTAATTGTATAAGTCAAATATGTTTTGACAATATTAGGAGGAAAATTTAAAAGATATTTACTATTTTTTTTAATCTCGGTATTAAATTAAAACACAGTAAATATTTTAAATAATAAAATTTATTATACAAAAAAGTACAAATACAATATAAAAATATATTAAAAAACAGATATTGTAGGTGATCTCTGACGATGGCTAAGCTTCAACTCTGAAAACAAAATAAAACATTAATATTAAATCAGCACGGTAAGTACTGTATGATCGAAAAAAAAAGGCGTCAGCGATGGCTATGAAAATCGCTGTCATTTTATATGTAAAATTATATGGGAAATGTAATGGAACGTCATTTCCAAGCCAACTGGACGCTGTTTTTTTCTATCATACGATACAATATAATCGCGAAAAAAAACGGCGTCAGCGATGGCTATGAAATAAAGATCGCTGTCATTTTATATGTAAAATTATATGGAGAATGTCATTGATCATTATTTCCAAGCCAACTGGACTCCGTCTTTTTTCGATTAGACGGTATTTTTCCCATATCACCATAAAAGCTTTTTGATAACATTGTATGTATACCGAATGATCGAAAAAAAAACGGCGTCCAGTTGGCTGGGAAATGACGATCGATGTCATTTCCCATATAAATTTATATATAAAATGACAGCGATCTTCATTTCATAGCCATCGCTGACGCTGTTTTTTTTTTTCGATTATATGGTATCTAGCAATTTGCTCATTCCTAAGCCAACTTGAACTAACGTCGTTTTTTTCGATAATATGGTACTGGAAGATAAAAATTATATTTTCATCTCCAACACTACAAAAAACAAATTTTTTTAACATATTTAAGACACTTTGTAATCAATTCTACATACAGGATACCATAAGATCGAAAAAAAAACGCAACATAGTAGCTTTTGTAATGACGATTGATGATAATTGTTTACTATAAGTGTGAACCAAGCTGTTTTTACTTGACATACTTTTTGTTAAAAATATAAAAAGTATTTTTAGCAAGTTTATAAGTTAATTTACAATAAATTATATTAGAGGTTGATCAGGAGAAAATTACTTGCAATCAGCATGTCTTCACCTACTTTGATGCTGTTTATTTTCAATCATATGGTATTGTACCTATATATAATAGAATTTATTCGTAACAGATAAATAAATATACCGTATGATCGAAAAAAAACGGCGTCCAGTTGGCTGGGAAATGAACATCAATGACATTTCCCATATAAATTTACATATAAAATGACAGCGATCTTCATTCCATAGCCATAGCTGACGCCGTTTTTTCTCGATCATACGGTATTATACATCATAGAAAGTTACAGGTTACAAGAAGTAAAAACTAGTAAATAAACATACATATTGGTTGTTATTGAATTAAATAAAACTAAATTAATTAAAAACACAAACACTTACAGATGCAGACGATGCAGACCATAGCCGTGCCTTCTATGCCGTTTCTCTTAACTATCTCCAAGATGATTTAAGCGTTAAATATTTTCATTTATACGGTATTTGCATTTAGCAATTTTCCATTATTAACTTATTTTATTGTTTTTAAAATAGTTTTACTCCTTTAAAATGAAAAAGAATAAAATTATTAAAGATTTTTTTTTCAAAATTTGACATTATAAAAAAGGGTTAGAAATTAAATCTTCTTCTTTTCTCTTTTTTTACATTTAAGACACATTTTCTTCTTTAGTAATTTCTTTGGCTTAATTCCTAAACTGTCCATAGATTAAAAAGATCAAAATATATTCGTCCCCACAGAATATACTTGTTCGTCCCGCTTGGCAGCGCTTGGCGAGGCGGGTGTATTGAGCGTATTGTTGATATTTTTTTAATATTAAGTTTAGAAAGAAAAACGGCAAAAATTGGGTCCTCAAACGAGAAAATGCCCGATGTTATTATTTCCTTAACATCGTCAGATGAAGAGGAAAATATTGAACCGCCCCCGCCTAAGGTATTTAATACTTTTCGTTTTTTAGGGGTTATTTTTTTGTATTTTGCATTTTTAGAAAAGTAAACCCACACTCTTTCTATCCGAATGCACCTTAACTGTAGTTAGTGGTAACAAGAAAAGAAAAAACCGACCAGCGAGAATATAACTACAGTAACATTAGATTCAGACGATGATGATAGTTTAGGAAAAGGAGTTACCAAAGTTAGTAATGAGACTGAACTAATACCCAGATCGAAGCAGAATGATACGAGCAAGTCTGTGAATAATGTAGATTTAACTATACTTAGTGATGATGAAGATATATACCTCCTGCATTGAATCAACTCTACCATCAAACACAACAGAAAATGGTGAAAATGAAAGCAGTAATAATAATGAAACTTTGAAAGTAAGTGATACAGTATCGATTCCTGATAGTGATTCAGAGACAGAAGCTGTAAATGGAACAGAATGCAACAACAAATCTTCTCCAGATTCCAAGAATGAGAGTATAATTGTGAATGACTCTGAGGAGGGAAAAACAGAAAAAAGAAAATCCTAACTTAAAATCAAATTACTGAAAAAATAACTGATAGTGTCTCTAATCCAGAGGATGCACAGGAAGCTCCTTTAGATGATACACAGAAAACTCCTCCAGATGATGCACAAGAAACTCCTCCAGATGATGCACAAGAAATTCCTTCAGGTGATGCACAGCAAACTCCTCCAGATGATGCACAAGAAACTCCTTCAGATGATGCACAGGAAACTGCTGTTGATGATACTCAGAAAATTGCTCTTAATGATGGAATCCCAGAAACTCCTCCAGAATCAAGTGATGAAACTGATCCTAAATCCTTATTCAACAAATTTCTCAAATTGGTTGAAGAAAAAATTGCGGACTCACAATATGTTGAAGCTTTACCAAAGAAACTGCCATTATCCAAAAAATATTTTGACAAAGTAAAGATTATGTTAATGAAAAATTCTTTCAAAAAACCCTTCTTGATTCTGTCCAAAGTATAAGTAAAGCCAAAAATTCTAACGGTACCAATTTAGCTATAGTGGCATTTCACAAGATTTGTAAAATCCTGAAAGCGAATATAGCTCAAACGACTATTATAGTCGAGGAGGAGAACTTGCCTAAGGTTAAAATGTTAGAAAGAACAATAGCATTATTGAAGAAGAGGATAAAGAAACTTGAAACTACCGAAGTTAACTTTGAGGAAGATAATAATTCTGCGTATATTCAGCTTGATAGGTAAAAATATGAGTATATAATAGTGAATATTTATCAAGCAAACTTAATGCTTAATTTTTAGGTATCAGAATAGGTTAAATAAGGTGTATAAAAAGTATTGTCAGTATATTAAAAGAAATCCATATAGTGGTAGAGCAACACATGATAAAATTACTTTTGTCACATCAAATTACAATGAAATCAACCAGGCAATATCAAAAAATACAATAATAGTTTACATTTTCCAAACTATTATGAATTAGGAGTATAATTCATAAAGAAAACGGATCACTAAACATAAATTAAATCTGAATGATGATGAAGTAAAGGTAGAAAGTAAGTTTAAGTTCATATAAATTTAATTTTAAAATTAACAAAAGTATTTAATAGGTGAAAATGTCTCAAAACGTTAGGATCAATCCTTCAGAAAAAACGTAGACAAGATTTGTATGATTCCCATTTAGATTTTATCGAATTTAGTGAAGACCCCGCTACCAAAGATCCTTCTCTAGAAAGTGTTTTAAAAAAGAGTCTTGTAGAGGGTGAACAGAAAAGTAAAGAACTCTTAAAAGTATGTTCTTAATTGTATTAATTTCTTAACTAATTTTATATAAATCTTTTTTTATAGATATGTCGATATGGCTGAAAGAGGGGAGGACAAAGTTTCAACAGATCAAAACCTAGAGATCAGAAGAAGAAGAAAAACGAAAAATCGGATCACGAAGATATAAATAAAATTGAAAATTCCACGTAACATTTTTTTAATATACATTGTCCCTGTATTTAAATTTATTTTATCATTAAATATATATATATCGAAATTGTTATTCTAATATTATTAATATTATACTAAATTTTTTGTAGAGTAAAAGGTAAATATATTATTATTTTTTCATCACCTTGTTTTCAGTCAAGTGTGTTAAACCATTAATTTTTAATTGGAAAAACAAAAAAAAATAAGAAAAATTGTAGTCCTTATTTTCAACTCGATGAATAACCACAGATTATTTTTTTTCAAGTCACCTTGATAGCTCTATGGGACAACCATAGATCTAACAAATCCATCTCCAAAGTATTACTAATCTGTACCTATAAGTCACAGATTAGTAAAACCGACTCAGAATCATACTTTTTTTCAGCTAACTTCAGAATAATCCATGTAAACGTCAAAATTTAAAAGCAAACATTAAAGTGACACCCCAATTAATAAAACACGGAAAAAGTATACTTCTGTATATTTAACTGCCAAATATTTCACTGGAACTACCTTAAATGTGATATATCATATTATAACTATTTGTAGACAAGTTTCAGCAATCGTTTAAACACTATATAAAAAAAGTAATGTAGGTCATGTAAATGGATCTTTTGATCAATTTGATAATAAAAGAATTGAAACTAGTTGTGTTCTCATATTTTTCAGCATATTACTTACGTAAATAAGTTGCATTTGCTTATTTATTCAATAGAGAGATTAACAGAAAAATATAAAATATATAAGAAACATGTAACAATGAAATTCAATAGTTTAGTTACACATTCAATTGAGTTGATGTTTGATATTTTTAATTATTCTTATATATATAGTCTCATAGATCAGAGAGTTATGACAAAAAGAGCAATGAAAATGTAAAAACAACAGGAAACATGTAAAATACTTTAAAAATTTGAACAATTAATGATGATAAAATAAAGTATGTGCATTGTTTAATAGGATTTTACATTGTTTAAGCAACATATAACTGCTTATTATACCATTCTATAACAATAAATTATCCTATGTTATAATTATTTTTTTATCCTAGGCTCCCAGTTGCTTAAACAATTTTGTACAATTTAAATAACAAAGATTTATCACACTAAAATTATCTCTTAAATAATTCGACCACTATCACAACTACAGCGTCAAATGCTATTACACTAATATTAAATAAAAATGAAAAAATAAATATTTTACATATACATACATATTATCACGATATATACAGATTGTTCAACAAAATATTCATTATAAGTAAACGGTCATTGCAACAACGAAAATCAACTAATCTTAATTTGATGGACAGCAAAATGTATTTTTCGAGACGCACAATAAAGTGAATCTTAACCAGGGATGGATGGCGTACCTTTTTAATATTTTGGAGTAAAATAGAGTAAAAAATCGTGAACAATATATATTAGCATGTCGTTAAAGGAACACCCTGTGTAATAATAAACCAAAGTATTTTTCTACAACTGTCACAAAAAACTATAACGAAATTATTTTTTACACGCAACCTACCATTTTTTACACGTAAAAAAACAGTGTTTTTACATTACTGTTTCATATCCACCCATCCCTGCGATCCCGGACATTTGATATACTATATACATTTTAGTTTTGTATAGATTTATATTATGAGCGATCTGAAGTGTGGCCTATACTTATACTACTTTACTAGAAAGAGATTTTATTTCATTAATACATCTATTAAACGCCTAGTATATCTTTGAAATGAAAGATGTACAGTGTGTTAGAGATGATACACCCTGTACACAATGAACAAAAAAAACATTAAAATATTCCATATAATTGAAAAAATATATTTAAGTACACGTATAAAAGACGATTTAAGTTATGTTGTTTTATATAAATTATCTTTAGAGAAATAAATACTTGTCATGTTTTGTCTTGGTCATGGCTCTAAAAGTTGACAATAAAGTTTTAAATTTTTGTCAAGGAGTTTTTCAGAAACCCCTGTATATTTATGTTTTCACGAAAGAAAGACTTCTCTAATGTAAAAATAACAAACATTAATTTAAAAATCTCTTGATACATGACATAACCCCTAAAACTCTTATATTTCCTACGAAAGTGTTCAAAAATTGACTAAACTTTTTTGATATATATTTATAGTCTCTCATATACTCCTCCATTTTGAAAAAAACTGTCTTTTAAACCAATCAGATTCCGCCAGCAGAACAATACAAGGGAAAAAATATCTATGTTCTATTGGTGGATGAAATAGTAGGAGGACTTAACGCTTATTATTATTGATATTTAAGTGTTCAGCTAGTGCTCATAGTGCTCAGTCAGTCGCCCGCGTCCAACCATTTCCCCTCTTCTATGATCCGTTCGAAACAGTCCACCAAATAAAGTACATAACAGAAAAAAAAATATTAAAATTGATATTTAGGTTATAATAAAAGTCGAAAAGACACTGGCGGATACGTCATCAAAATTGACAGGCTTTATGTCACAGAATACCATAGTTATTGGCTATACAGACGCGACAGTAAGCGTCGGCTTCTTTGAAGTATTTGTCACCAATGTTTTGACCTTTAAGCAGTGTTGCCAAAAATTTTGGAAAAATTCTTAACTGAAGGAAATCCTTTCATTCTGGCAACACTGCCTTCAAGTCACATTTTGCAAATTAAACTCATTTGTATACAGAAAAATTTCTAGGATTTTAAAAGAAACTTTTAAATACACCAAGAAGTAATTTTTCTTTATATGGCTCATATTTTTTTCGTGACGGTTTTTTAGTATATTAGTAAATACAAATCATAAACAATACAATTAAAAAAATTAGGGAGAAAACTTAAGCGTCTAAAGTTTTTTACGGCCAAGCTACATCGAAATATCTTGAACTCTTAAAATTTGGTTTGTAGTAGTACACCAAAAAAAAAATGCCCGTGTCGCTTCTGTATGGTTAGCTGATTTTGTGCATATATGAACTGTTTTTTAACACGCTATGATGACGTAAACGCAACTCAGTCCGAACATTCTCTTATAAGTTTCAATTTTTTGGCGTCCTGATATATGTATTTCTATAAATATACAAATAAAAAAAAAATACTTATAAGATGTGTGAATCTTGAGCCATCGAGGTGTCTTGTCCTGTCTGTTATATTTCAAACAGAACGCCATACCCTCTTCATCTACTTCCCACTGTCTTATCGTGTCCCATTCCAGTACTACCACCTGACTTTCTAGCGTACCGTCTTCTTGACACGCGTGCAATTTTATACCGCTGGTACCTAAATACAGAAAGAAAAAATTCGAAAAAAATGAATTATAAAAAAAAAAAAAAAAAAAGGTGTCATAGTAGCCTTGGACAATCTATGATAATTTCTATCGGGTCGACCTCTGTATATGACATTTCTTAAAGAACTGAAATAAATATTGAAAACATTCTTAAAGAACTGACATTTTAATATTTTTAAGGTGAGAATATTAGAAAAGGATATATTATGTTTGTTCCAACCGGACGAGAGAACCGTCCTATAACGGTAATTTCCTATCAGTCAATTCATTTGTTAATCTTGACAAGCGATCAAACTTTTCAAACAATAAATTAGACTAGAATACTGGAGAAGGCCAATTAATGACGTCATAAGTAATAAAACTTGATAAACAACTCTAAATTTGTTTTTTTTTAATAAATGTTCTAACTCAAAAATAAAAAAGTTATAGAAAGTTAAAAAATGCATATAACCTCAAAAAACACTAACACTCACCTATAGACAACACAACGTGCCCCTCCTTCCTAGAATCGCATGCGCAATGAGGAAACACTACCTCCCCATACCCAGGCAACTCCCTAGCTAGTTTCAAGTACTCCACAGCCCTAGTGTTGTCCTGTAGCGCTTTCAATTGGTACAGCCTCTCGCCGGCGTTGATGTACCCTCTGTTGACGTCATCCACAGCCTGCCAGAAAACGTATGACGTGGCCTGGGAGTCCGACATCAGGCTGAGCTCTTTCTGAATGGAGAACAGCCATTTCCTTATGGACAGACATGTGCTGGTGGCTGTGCTGTAGTTCTGGATGTAGAGGTTATGTGGGTATTCCGACGGTTGGAGTTTCCTTTCTAATGAATGTACAGAGAGAGAAATCAATAAAAGTCTGCCCGAATGTACGAAATTTAATTTCTAATAAATAAAAATTCGTTTGAAACTTAGGGAACACTTTTTTGTTTTGCGTGTTGTTTGTAAACATCAATATAATCAATATATACCGGCATGATCGAATAAAAACGGCGTCAGCGATAGCAAAGGCGATGAAATGAAGATCGCTGTCATAATATTTAGCCAAATTATATGGGATATGTCATCGATCGTCATTGTTCCAAGCCAACTGGACGCCGTTTGTTTCGATCGCTCAGGCTCAATATTTGCTTGATTTCTGTCACATAAATGACATTGTTTGACAAACAACACCAGAAAAACCAACCTTCTCGCGCTGGTTGGTTTGGTGACAGTTATAACCGAATTTTTTCAGGAACCGTGTTCGTAATAAGAAAACTTTCACGAAACCGATAGAAACGGAACATAAAACCATAACCAATGTAAGCAACGGAATACACCCTTACTGATTTTCCCATAGTAAATTTCGCAGTGTAGGTGTAACTTTAGGTTATACAAAATAGGGTGTGGGGTAACCTTTAGGACTTACCGAAATTGTATTCCACGATTTCGAAGAGGTAAAAATACTTGGAGATCTTCCTGCTCATACCGATCTTCTTGATGATGGCTTCATACACTTCGTCCGCGTTGGCGCTCCTTTTTAATGTTACTGTGACGACTTCTCGATCAGGAAGCAAAACCTAGTGATTAAATTATTGTAAACATCGCTAAAAGACGTTATTTTCTTCTCTTTTGTGTTAGTAACAAAGGAATAAAACAATAAAAAAAGTTTACTGATTTTTTTTTTCCCTTAACAAAAGTTAGATCTCAATAAAAATTTTCATGTATTTTAAATTTTGATATATTTTATGCTAGTGGGCCGATTTTGATGATTTTTTAAGCTTTTTAAACTCACTTTAAATTAAAAATTGATAGTCCATCTATATATTATACAAGGTAAAAAAATGTTGCCATTTTGGAGAAAGTGAAAGTTGAAACACCCTATGTGAAAATCGGCCCGCTAGAGAAACATATGGCCAGTGCATATTATACAAGGTGGTTCGAAATTTATTCAGAAAACTTCGTCAGCGTATTCTGCAGATAAAAGATAAAGTAAAAAGTTTATATAAATTTATGTCCTATAATGCTTCGTTTTGGAGATACAGGGTGTAGAAGTTTCATTTTTTAGTTTTGGATATAAATTAGTGTGTAGTAATGAACAGATGCTTTCAATAAAATCAATAAAATGAAAAATATGCGAAATAATATACATGTTCTGATTTCATTCGAAAATCAACATCTATGAAACTATGAACTCTTCCGGACACCAAGCGATTTTACATTGTGAGACAGGAGGTGGTAGCCAGAGAAAACAAGCCCTATAACATAGGATTACAACATTTTAATGAACAGTGCTTTCAATAAAATCAATAAAATGAAAAATATACGAAATAATATACATGTTCTGATTTCATTCGAAAATCAACATCTATGAAACTATGAACTCTTCCGGACACAAACGGTACATTGTGAGACAGGAAGTGGTAGAAAACAAGCCTATAACATAGGATACAACATTTTAATGAGCAGTACTTTCCATAAAATCAATAAAATGAAAAATATACGAAATAATATACATGTTCTGATTTCTTTCGAAACTCGACATCTATGAAACTATGAACTCTTCCCGGACACAAGCAGTACATTGTGAGACAAATGATAAGAAAGAAACAAACCCTATAACATAGGATACAACATTTTGAACAGTGCTGAAATTTAATTTTGATATATGCTATGACTCCTACTTGAAGGGGGCCGCCAACATGTTATTAACTCTTTTGAAGAGTAATAACTTTCGTCCGGCTGCCTGTATAAAACTAATGAGTGAAAAAATATACATTTTCGTAATTTTTTTACGTAAAAAACAGTAAAAATCGCTACGAGCAACCGTTCTCAAAGCTATTTAAGAAGAAAAAATAGGCAATACATGTCATCACTGGAAAAATTAAACATTTTGAGTAGATTTGACTGAAATAATAAATTTCAAACGTTTGCTCAACAGAAACATTTTTATCTTATTTTTTTTTCTAGAAAAAATTTATGATTAATTTAAAACACACAAAAAATCCCAAATTTATCCTATCACTCAATCCATGATACAAAAGAAAACAAGGTATAATATTGCGCACGTTGGTCACTACGTCACAGGTGATAAGCAATATTGGTCGGCAAGCTCCGCGCGCTAATTTCAAATTGTCAAACTGATGACACATAATAAATGTGTCATAAATTTTTAAATGTTTTTTTTTTTTTTTTTTTTTTTAACTTTTGGGGTTATGTACTAATTCTTCCCTATTATAGGTTTTGTTTTTAGCGGCAAATAGAACAATATGGATATTTTTCATTATGGCATATGACGTCACAGGTGGTATGCGTAAACTGAACGAAATTGGAGCCGCTATCGATCAATATATCTAGTCAACAAGCTTGTTTTTGTCAATAATGACATGTAATGATCATTTCCATTGCAAATATCTTGAGAACAGTTACCCTTAGGGGTTTTTACCAGGACACCCCACTTTTTCGCAAAAAATTACGAAAATGTATATTTTTTCACTCAGTAGTTTATACAGGTACGGACAGTTATTACTGCTTCTTTGAATAATAAGAAGACTGAGGAAGGAGCGTATCAAAAATCTTAGGTACACCGCGATGGGCCTCAAATATGGCCGACAAAATTCCGGTTTACCAGTGTCGTTCTAATTTTATTTAAAAATGTAAGAATTATGATGTGGGGTAGACGTGATGGTCTTTGAATAAGAAGACTAAGGAAGGAGCATATCAAAAATCTTGGTTACACCGCGATGGGCCTCAAATATGGCTGACTTAAATTCCGGTTTATCAGTGTCGTTCTAATTTTATTTAAAAATGTAAAACTATGATGTAGGGTAGACGTAGGGTAGACTCAATAATTTGGTATTTTATTTTTGTGAATAAATGTTGGTAGTTATTAAATTGTTATAAAATATATAATTCTAATAAAAATATAGATAAAGTTATAATAAGTGTATTTATTATAACTTATCTATTTTAATATCTACTTTATCCGATACGCTACTGAAGCAGGTAAGTCAAATTAACGTATCTAAATTCTTTGACATCTAATCTTTGACAAGTAATAAATAAAAGCTAAAATGCAAGAAAATATATAATTTAGTTAATTTAAGTGAATTTCATAAATGATAGATTTACTACACGTATGTATATTATATAGTCACTTACTGGAGAAAAGTTGTTCCATTATTTCCTCGATTTTTGACCGAATCTACCGCACGCTACACAACCAACTATTTTAGAGTCTTTTCGATAAATCCTTGAAATCACTGTTATTCAGACTGCCTGCAATTTCCATCTAGATTTACTACCGTCATACAACTATCAGTAGTAGAATAAATAATAAATACCATAAAATAAGCTCCGTAAAAACTGACAAATCCACAAAATTTCAAATCAAATTCAAATGTGTCAAATGAATTGTCAAACAGAACTGTCAAGGATCTCCACCCTAGAGTGCTTTTTCGCCCACCATGCATGAATACATGGTTAGCATTATGCTCCTTCCTTAGTCTTCTCGCCATTCAAAGTTCAAAACAGATAAAAAATAATAGCATGTGGCGCCTCCTATAAATAGGAGACATATTGACAACAAAATAGAATTCCTCATATCAAAAAACCACCAATTTTTGTCAAGATATAAGTTCAGAAATTATTTGGAAAAACCGAAAGCAAAATAAAACTTCTACATATCTCGAAACGAAGCATTTTAGGACATATATTTATACAAACTTTTAAATTTTTTTGAAGTTTCTCGAATACAATTTGGACCACCCTGTAGCCTTCACAAATGAAATTCTCAATAAAAGACATTTTTTCTCTTACAAAATTAGATTTTTCGTCAACAAACAGACAGATATTCAACTCCAATTGACACCTATTGACCCTGATTTATACGAAAAAGTTTGTTTACCTTCAGATCTACCGGACTGCTATTGTTTTCGTCATCCTGATCAGTCAGGAATTCCTGCATTATGTCTGATTCTGCTATAACACGCACTGCGCAGACTCTTTCAAGGTACTGCTCTAAACCACGCCTTCTGGTGTCCAATTGTTGCTCGCTGAGCGTGAATGGCCATTTTCCCGGTAGTTTAGGAAAGTTGTAGCCTGTAAAATGTCGGATTCTTAGACCATAAATTACCTAGACATTTATAGTTATTGTGGGAATCGTGTAGCCAACATAATAGGACACAAATTTATACATTTTTTTCTCTGTAATTTTACATGTTTTGGTTGTAATCTTAGACTATGAACTACCTAGATACCTATAACTATTACTGTGGGCATTCCGTGTCCAACATTACATTAATATACATTTAAAATTAAAAAAAAAAATTTCTTTTTTTTGGTCAAAAAATGTTTTTTTTTTTTGTATGTTATTTTTTTTAGACTATGAACTACCCAGATACTTTTAGCTAACAGCGAGCATCTTGTAGTCCAAAATAAACACACAGCCAAAATGAAATTTACATTTTATGGTTTTACGACATGTTTAGGTCGTTGTCTTAGACTATGAGGTACCTAGATACCAAAAGTTATTGCGGGCATACTGTAGCTAACATTATATTAATATACACAAAATAAAAAAAAATTTAGAATTTTTTAAAGATTTTTTTATATTTTGATCGTTTTCTTAGACTATGAGCTACATAGACACCTAGCATTATTTAAAAAAGATCTAAAAATTTTTATGCAATAACAATGTACACATTATATGCAATTAGCTAAAAAAATATATAAAAGCTATATATGTATGGTTTGTGGTTTTGTTTGTTTCACTTCAAAACCAATAATTTCATTTAGATATCCATTGTAAGGAAATGTTTACATAAAATATAAATCACACTAATGTATCTGTTAATATTTTTAATATTTTATTTATAAAATACGTATATTTACGTCTAAATACAAATACGCAAAAAAATATAGATTACTGATTATACCATTTAAAAAAAATCAGTTCAAATATAATTTGAGATAAATTAAACATGACTCAAGCTAAAAAAATTCCCTTAATTTTAAAAAGTTAAAATCAACATTCCCGCTAATTAAAATAAATAGTGGAGGTATTTTTAAAAAAAAACTTTGCGTCGCTGAATAGTATATATAACATAAACAAAAAGTACTTTAAAGAGTATTTTTAGAGGTCTACATTTTTGTAGAATTTACTGTGATTATTTGACGATAAAAAATATTTTTTAAAAAAAAAAAAAAAACTATTTAAATTAATTTTATGATATTAAATTGTTCTTATAAATATTATTGATTAATTTTATAAGAAAGTTCAGACATAGTCATTTTCGACCCCGACCCTTTATTTTCAATAAAAACTTATGATCATATGCTTTTGCTGTATTGTTAGACTATGAACTACCTAGATGCCTAGATGCTACCGTGGGTATCCTGTTGCCAACATAAATATACAGTCCCAAAATGAAAAATATATTTTATAATGATTTTAAGATATGTTTTTGTCGTTTTCTTAAATTATAAACTGCCTAGACACATCTAGCTCTTGTTGGCATCCTGTAGCCAACACAAATATAGTCCGAAAATGCAAATTTAATAAAAAAAATCTTATGATTTTTACTATTCTTAGACTGTGAACTACCTAGACACATCCAGCTATTGAGTGCATCCCGTAGTCAACATAAATACAATCCCAAAATTCAAATTTAATACGATTTTTTCTTCTGATTTTATGGCAAGTTTTGGTCGTATTTTTAGACTATGAACTGCCTAGACTCATCTAGCTTGTGTGAATCCTGTAGCCAACATAAAAATACCAGTCCCAAAATGCAAATTACAATTTTTTATCATTCTGTAATATATTTTTGTCTATTGTTAGATTATGAACAACCTAGATACCTATAGCTATTGTGGGCAACCTGTAACCAACTTATAAATATACAGATCCCAAAATGCAAATTTAATAGAATTTTGTCTTAATATTTTATGACATGTTGTTAGTGTCGTATCCTTAGACTATACACTGCCTAGACACATCTAGCTATTGTGGGCATCCTGTAGCCAACATCGCTATACAAATTCAAACCCTTTTCTGATAAATTCATGACAAAACTAAACAAGGCGTATATTGTTAAAACTTGCAATAAACTCCTTTTTGAGATCGTTGTGCAGCTTGGCGAACTCCCTGTACCTTCTGGAGCACAAGTGTCTCCCCGCCATGTAAATATTAAAAGAAACATATCGTTCACCGCCTCGTTCATTGTAGTGATAGTCTGGAATGCTTATGGGTAGTGAACGCTTTTCACTATAATCATAATACACCTGACTGTCTTCCGAAGGTTCTAGGCGTTCAGCCTCCTAGGAAAAAATTCAATAAAGAACGCTACAAATCAGTTTGAGAAACTCCTCTATATAAGGAGGTCGAACTGTATTCCAAACAGTTCTGCAGATTAAGGCCGATTATTTCTCAGCCCAGCCTCGTACATTAATACAAACTTTTTTACTTATTTTTATCTGCAGAATATGCTGCCGAAGTTTCCGGAATACAGTTCGGGCCACCCTGTATACAGGGTCTTTTATAAATAACATACCTGTTGAGTGACAGAAATGACAGTGAGCTTTAAGACGTCTCCTCCTGATTTTATGAGATCTACTACTTGCTTGTGTGTAGCTCCTTCTACATTCACTCCATTACTACAACAATAAATATTGATACAGGGTGTTTAAAAAAAAACATGTGCCATCTCTCATGGGGAGATTCCCCTCATAAAAATAAAGTTTATTTTTCATATTAACATAGGTCCGATTCTACTTTTGTTTCGTAGCTACAGCTAAATCTTATTTTTACGTGAGGATTCTCCCCACGAGAGATGGCACTTGTTTTTTGAAACACCCTGTATACAGTATGTCCTTGGATTGTCTTTACAAGAGGAAATACTTTTTATTATTACCTTTTTGAGAAAAATGCTTTCTTCATAAAAGTTTTTACTTGTTCTAAAATGGTTAATCCCGTTTATATTTGTCCAAATTTCCGTTTTAGAGAAAAATAAAAAAATATGAAAATATAGTCGAATTTTTTTCAAAGTCCCCAAAATCAAAACTTGTTTCTATGGTAATACCATTCTTTAATATTTTAAAACAGCAAAATGGGTATATGACGTTAATCAAAAAATATTAACCATCTAGCAAAGAATATAAACAAAAATATGTTACCATAGTAACGCGTTTTGACTTTTGGGACTTGGAAAAAAATTCAACTATATTTTCGTATTTTTGTATTTTTCTTTAAAACGGTACGGATATTTCGAAAAGTATAAACGGGATTAACCATTTTAGAACAAGCAAAACCTTTTGTAAAGAATGCTTACTTAAAAAGTTTAAAGAATTAACGTAGATACTAAAATAACTATTTTATAAACTCACCAGCTTAAGTACAGTGAATGTGGAATAGTTTGAAAATGACTGCCCAACATTTTAAATCATAATAATCAAAAAATAAGTCTATTACCAACAAAATACTTGCTTTTAATCTAAAGTAAACTCACTCAAGATGTTCTTATTATACAGATAAACGAAATAAATAAAGATTAATACACTTAAGAATGTTATTCACAATATTTCAATGCTTTTAGTGGATGGACTTTCTCTTGTACACTGCCAGGCAATCAATGAGAGCAAATCAAGTTACAAGAGATAAACAAGTTTAATATAAATAAATGTCTGGTGGCAAAACATATTTTTATATAACTAAAACACAATTAACGCAGGCTAGTTTTACACGTCTTATCTGTAATGGCACACACTGATTTTTTTTAATTAACTGACCACAGATTAAAGTTCACAAAAAACATAAATAACATTTTCCAAGATTAATAAATGTATCGAAATTATTTAAATTTTTAATGCTATATTTCGGGGAAATAAACAAATGAAATAGCATTATTTCAAAGCCAACTATGATCTGAAAATGTGAAAGTACCTATTATATCCTTGAAATTTTTGTATCCCTATTACCTGTTTTTATTATTTTGTCTTTTCAATTTTAAAACATACTTTTATTGAATTCATAAATCATTATTTTTTTTTAAGGAAATTAACATATATTTTGAGGTCCGATATTCGAAAATATCAAAAAGACATAAATTATACACAATGTTTACTATCCACCCACAAATTTTTATAAATATTGTTTTAGATTCCTGTAAAATTGTTTATGAATATGACAGCACTTCAAAAGTATGCCTACTTGACTAATAATAACTGTTTAAGCATCTTATATAAGGATAATTTACTTTTACAAGTACTTTCAATATTATTTGCTGATTAACTCACACATTACCTAATTATTTTATAATTTACATTGAGCAAGAATTCCTTAGTATTTAACAGAAGTTTCTAAGCATTAAAATGACAAAAACACTAATGTTTTACTTAAGAAATAGTTCATTCTAGTATTACTACCCTACTTTTTCTATTAAAACATTCAATTGTGTGGTTATTGGAAAGAAATCAATAATCTCCTTAGGTAAACACAAAAACTCTTCTACTTACACCTCTAAAATCCTGTCTCCTTTCCTTATACCGGCCTGTTCGGCAGCCCCGTGATCCAGCACAGCGCTTACGTGCTGCAAGGGGGCGTATAGCTCACCGTTGATGCTCCTGAGCTGGCCCCCCTCGCTAACTTGGCCCCGGACATTAAACCCGAACCCTGTATCCGTTTTCTTGATGGTAACAACTCGAGGACCGGCGGATACCTTCATATTGTTGTTAGTATTGCGAGAAGTTCGGACGGTGTCGGCCATATTTTGACGTTTTGAATCTCTTGATGCGGCGCGGCGGAGGATCACATCCTTCGCATCGCGGATTCAAATTGAAACACTCCTTTCAGGAGTATAGATGCGCTCCAATCCGACGCTGGGATAGTACTGACCTTGCGTGTTGAGGCGGTTTTTCGGCCAGGAATGTGCGGAATCGTACGATTTTCCGAGGATACTGCAACGATTATTTTGTCAATGAACTCCGTTTTATTTGACAGGCGGATTGTTTGCAACGCGGAACAGCTGATCGCTGTCACGCGGTGCGTTGACGCGCTGGTAAAGAAACCTGTAATTACGGATTTATCACGTTACAGAAACCTGTAATATAGCAGATTCTCTTAAAATAGTTACAGATTTACTCTAATAGATGGGGAAACATGTATTACATGGTAGGGATGTCGATTCTTTCTAAAAAAAATCGATCTTCGATTCGATTTGAATCGAAAGCATTGGAATCGATTCTCGATTAAATCGAACATCGAAATATCGATGTTCGATTAATCGAATCGTTAGTCTTTGTAGTTTGATTTGGTTTACTGTTTACATTTTTTCCAAAAATCAAAAACATGTATTTTGCGAAAGAATAAGTCGACCCTGAGAGTAATATTGCTAAAAGTAGGTTTTAGATCGCCGGTTATATCATATACGGGGAATTTTTATTGAAAATTGCGAAATTCGCGCAGTTTGGCATGGGAAAATTAGACCAAGTTACTTAAAAATTCTTATTAGAACTTGGTATAATATCTTTTCGTACTTGTAGCTTCAATTTTGCTTACTGGAAGGTTTTTTAGACTGTTTGTGATTTATTTGAATTGAGGGCGCACTTTCTAAGCTAAGATAGACACAGGGGGTTTGTCCTTAGCTCTGCGATGGTCTTAAACTAATTTGTACAAGAAAATAGGACCCCGCTGCCTTTTTTAATGGAAATGCAGTATATAACTCGTGAAAAGACACTGTTTTAGTTAGTTTTTCTATTTCCTACGTAAGATATCTTACTTTGAGTGAAAATATTACGGATTTTTCGTATTTGTAAAAAGTAAGTGAGATGGATAAGTGAATAAAATTGATATTTTTGAAAGCGGTTGATGCTTAATTCGGCTCTGTAGCTGGCGCGTTTTTTTACATAATAACATATAAGGAAATGGTAAATAGATTGCGGAAATCAGATCAAAACGAAAGAAAGAATGATCAGCATCCGGTTCTTGTTGCTTTTGTATGGCCTTCGTTGGTCAGTCACTGCTGGTCTAATGCGATGTAAAAAAAATAATACAAAATGAAATTCTGAAAATATATTCGGTAAAATACCGCACGTACACGCTTTTGGCTTTGTAGGTACTTTAATTTGGATTTTAATTAATAATAAACCCAGCATCTTCTAGAATGGGGATTTCCCTTTAATTATTTTTATTTTTTCAATGTTTTTTAAAAATGTATTAATTTAATAATAAATTTGTATTTATATGGGAAAGATATATCTCCTTAATCCAAATTGCTTTTGTTTAATTATCAATAAATATCTGTATATTTATTAATAATAAGTCCGAAAAAATAAGTGTGGTGATCGCTTTTTTAAAAATAACGTTTTTTAAATACTGTTTTCTCTCGATTTCTCTATAATCTTATTGGTTTATAAAGGTGTCTTCTCTACAGGGTGGTGAACAAAACTTTAATAAAACTAAAATAACCGAGTTATACTGGGTGAGTCTTAAATAAGTGCAAATATTTTTAGAGGTAGTATATTTCGACCCCAGAAACACGATAATTAGGAACAAAAAAAAATTGACAATTTGGAATTTTTGGAAAAAAAATTGCAAATTTTTTTAGTTTTTAATTAAAAAACATAATTACTTTATAATATGACAACATAGGTAGTAGATTAAATTTACAAGAAAGAAACCCCAGAAAAGATCCAGTGGTTCTCAAAATTTAAGCAAAAAGCATTTTTTTGGAAATTTTCAAAAACAACTCGGTGTTTTTGGACTTATTTGAAAAACCACAAAGAGAAAATATGTTTCTTTTATCGAGATCTACCAGCCCTAAAAATATTTGCACTTACTTATTGCGTTAAGACTCACCCTGTATAACTTAGAAGAATTAAAAAAAAACAAAGCGTACATTTTGAATACCATCGGTTATTAGTTATTATTGGACGTCCTGTGTTGCCACATGATCAAGAAAGATAAACTTTATTTGATTCAAAATACTTCGTAATCTGGCTATAAAAAATTTGTTAGATTTGTTAAGATTTATACATATTCCTTTATTTTTAGTACTCGTATTACCCTTGATTATGGACTACTCTAATATCCAATTAAAATTAATTTTTGTAAATTATTGTGTAGAAAATTAAAATTACTGTGAAATTATAAACACACAAATATGCAGAACGCGGGTAACGTAGAAGGTGGCAACATTGTAACGCATCGAAACCCTTTCAAGAAATTTCAGGAGAATGAACCTGTGGCACTAAAAAGTTTTTTAAAATTTCCCGGAACATGTGAAGGAAAAATTAAAAAATTACAACTATTTTTTGTCCAAAAAAACTCAAGAGCTTGTTTTTGGGACCGATATAAAATACCAGTTGAAGTACTTGTACTTATTAAGGAGACCCCCTGTATAGTGGAACAAAAATTGCATTATTTTTCGATATTTTTCAAATATTTTTTATGTCCATGCTTTTTTATAAGAATTAAAGATTTCCAAAAAAAATATATCGTCTGTTTCTCCATCCGTAAACGTCTAATCTACCATTAACCGTAAATCACCCTGTATATACAGGGTGAATCTTAAATAAGTGCCCATATTTTTAGGGATGATATATTCCGATCCCAGAAACAAGCCTATGATTTTTTTCAGTGAAAAAAAATTTTGAAAATGTATTTTTCGAAAAAAAAATTGGATTTTTATTAATTTTCAGTTAAAAAATGTTATACTATATTGATAAAAAAGCAACATAGGTAACACAATATGACCGAAAAAAAAACGTCGTCAGCGATGGCTTTGAAATGAAGATCGCTGTCATTTTATATGTAAAATTCTATGGGATATGTCATTTTATATGTAAAATTCTATGGGATATGTCATCTATCGTCATTTCCAAGCTAACTGGGCGCCGTATTTTTTCGATCATACGGTATATGAAATTTAGAGAAACAAAAACACAGAAAATATCAAGTGGTTCTCAAAATTTAAGCTAAATTAAGTAAAATATATCAGTCATTCTGGACTTTTTTTGCAAACCGGTAAAGAGAAAATATATTTCTTATATCTCTTATCTACCCAACCTGAAAATATGTGCTCATATTTAAAACTTACCCCGTATAGATCTCGCAAAATTGTTGGAGATATCATATTTTTAACGAAAAATTCAGTTATTTTTGAATTAAAATCAGGACATTTTAAAATAAAGTTCCATTAGTTTTAAGCAAATAGGGACAATTATTATTGCCATATTGAGTTTGTTAATACTTTAAAATTTCCGTGGTCCATAGATAATTTTATTTTTTACTGAATTTAGCATATTTTGTCCCATTTAAAAACGGCGTCAGCGATGGCTATGAAATGAAGATCGCTGTCATTTTATATGTAAATATATATGGGAAATGTCACTGGTCGTCATTTCCTAGCCAACTGGACGCCATTTTTTTTCGATCATATGGTATTTCATGGTTGTTACTTACAGGGTGTATAGTATATACATATAACATATGTAGGTTAATTCAGAGGACTTTTAAAAATATAGAAAGTTTTACAGGGTGTCCCCAAAAAAAGTTACATATCAAAATTGTGTTTTTTGTAATGGACACCCTATATATTAATTGATTTTCGGATTCTGAGAGAAAAATAAAGGTGAGTTTTATAAGAGAAGTATATGACTAAAATGTAAGGTTTTTGACATATGTAACATTTTCTAGAAATAAAGAACAATTTTTAAATTACAATAAAAGCTACCTAAATTGGAATTTACCCGGTATAGCCTAATATGTAGTTAAATTAACTATTGTACTTTAAATCAAATTAAAACTTGGTCGAAAAAGTTATACAGGGTGAGACAAAATTAATATTGAACATTGGTTATCTTTAAAAGCAAGTTACTCTTTTATTTTAAATAAAACACCCAGTATATTATTCCGATATTCAATGGAAAATTCATGTCTCTTCAAAATACTATTAAGGTTGCCTACCCCTCAAACAAAGATTTTCCTAGATATTTTCATTTACATGATTTGATCTAAGTAGATCTTTATTATTTGGTAAAATCTAGGTGGCTGTGGTATTTCTGACGTTACTTCAACATAGCTGTCTAATTAGTCCAACTTTAACAACTAGTTATCATTTTGTGTCAGTTAAAACAAAAAAATTTCACAGAAATATGCCAAAAATGCAAACTTATCCTACATCAGAAAGAACTGATATGATTTTATTAGTTGGTCAATGCAGTGTGGCATTCACCAATTAATAGAAAAATCTTAATACTATTTTAAAGATATATAAATTCCTTATTGAACACCGGAACAATATACAGGGTGTTCCATTTAAAATAAAGGAGTAACATGCTTTTAAAAGTTACTAATGTTCCATATTAATTTTGTCTCATCCTGTATAACTTTTCGGGTCAAATTTCAATTTGGTTTAACATACAATGGTTACTGTAATTAAATATCAGATTATACAAGGTCAACTAAAATTTAGGTAGCTGTTATCGAAATTTAAAATTTGCTTTTCATTTTCACAAAATGTTAAATATGTTAAAATCCTAAAACTCACCTTTATTTTTTTCCTAGAATCCGAAAATAAATTAATATATAGGGTGTTCCATTAGAAAAAAACACAACTTTGATGTGTTACTTTTTTGGGAACATCCTGTATAATTCTATATATTTTTATAAAATGCTTTCACTTAACCTACATATGCTGCGAAAATTTCATTTCGATATAAACTACCGTTCTCCTTGGAGCTTCCGCGGCGTATGAGAGGCGCCACCCTGTATAAAAGATAGAGGGAATTATAGCATCTTAAGTAAAGGAAATAACAAAGGCGGTTTTTGAATTTTAATAGATATCAATAAATATAGAAAAATACGGAAATAAGATGATTTAATAATAATATTTATACTCATAACGTGGAAAATACATAAATAAAATAAAGCTATACGGAAATTCATAAAATTAATATGGAAATCTTTAATTTTCTTTAAATATTTTACTATTTATATCCTCCGAATTATTTTCTATTCATTTCTCGGTACATTTCCAAGCAAAATCTTCTGGTACTCACCTTGGCCAGTCCGCACCTGTCCCATTACAAATTTCTTTGTTTCAAATCGGTTTAAAAAGTTGATTTAGATCAACTTCTCCTTTAGTTATCAACCAAGAGCCGCTACCGACGCGATCACGACCACCCAAATCAACGAAATCAACGTGTTTTTTATGTTTGGGATCGCCTAGGTACGGCCCTGCAAAATAAAATTTAGTTTGAAAGTTTTTTTGTTGTTTCAAGATGATCAACAGGAATTCGATGGTTGCTGCAGTTCTTTTTGTGGTTTTCGTACATTTTTGGATGGTTGAAGCCAATACAATCGGTGAGTTTCAGTATAAAGATTGGTTTGGTTTGGTTTATATATTCGAATCCTACAAATGTACAGGATGTTCAAAATTCTACGCCAAACTTTCTAAAACTTTCTAAAAAATAATTTTTCTTGTTTTTTTTAATGGAACACCCTGTATATTATTTTTTTAATAGATGGATAATAAAAAAGGAACATTTTTTGTACTTAGAGTGTTTCAAAATTTTTAACGGTTTTGCAGATATTCCCGGTTTATATTTCATATGGCATTTTCCACAGTAAATTTTTAAAGAGCTATATGAAATAATAATGCGAGCGGTAATCATTGGGAAAACTGGAAATCGTCCGATTTTCACCAAAATTGGTATACACACTATTTTGAGGTCGTAGATTACGAATCTACTTTTTTCTTGGCGGTCTCTGACCGTTTTTCAGAAAAACGGAAAACTATTTCAACATTGAATTTTTCTTTATTTCGGCCCTATAAAGTAGTAATTTCACTATATTTTCATTATATTATAGTTTATCTAAAAGCCACACTTGATTGGGGATAGAAAAGTGTCCAACATTTTACTGAAAAACACTTTTCTTAACAAAATAGCAAAGAAAATTGAGACCAGATGGAAGTTTGACATTTGATATATCCTTCTTTCTCTCTCCTATGTAATAAGAGAGACAAATATATTCTAGACCTAATATAGAAATTTAAAAATTTACAACGATGCCATATCTTCTATTTTTTCGGGCGATTAGGGATTTTAAATAAATTACCTATTATGAGATCGACAATAATGAAATATACACCTATATCCACAAAATTACGCGGAAGAGTTTTGATTGCATTGGTTTTAACTTCTTTGCGGAGAGGGTTAATCTTTTTTAGTTAATCTAATAATATAACAACAAAAGATTAACACCCTCTGCATGGAAGTTGTAACCAAGGCAATCAAAACTCTTTCGTGCAACTTCGTGGGTATAAAATTGGTAAAATAGCATCGTTGGTAAAATAGCAGTTATGGGAAGGAGCCGTCCTTCTGGCGACCGCCTTTCGTAATTCCAGAATGAGCGAAAAAAACACGCTAAATTTAGGTTTAGCATTGGCAACGTTGCTTTAAATGCCAGAAACACATAAGCTTACTTCGGGTTTCTCTTATTACCGATTCTGAACCGTCCTAGAACTGTAATGCGTATGCGCAGAAGGAAAGAGTCGGTAATAACAAGAACCCGAACAAAGCCATAACCTAACATTTTCAGATTGTTTACAAATTTATTTTAGCAAATTTTCCTCTATTATGCATAGAATTGGTTAAAAAAGTAACAGAAAATAGCAAAAACATTATTGATTATTGAATACCTAACAAAATATGTGCTAGAAAACCTTAAAAATATGAGAAATTAAGAAAAATTCGATATTGAAATTATTTTCCGTTTTTTTGAAAAACGGTAAGAGACCGCCAAGAAAAAAGTTCAGATTCGTAATCTACGACTTCAAAATAGGGTGTATACCAATTTTGGTGAAAATCGGACGATTTCCAGTTTTCCCAATAATTACCAAAAATGTCAATTTTTTATTCGTTTTTACCTTGCCCCCTAAATTTCATTCTTCATAATTCATTCTTCCGGCGCCCATGGCCACATACCTTCCTTGTATACCGAACGGCTCTCGTATGGCAAGCTGTACCTTGCTACTCCCAAGGCGTTAAACGCTATATACGGGAGCTATTATTATTATTATGTAAAAAAATACCGAGGGTGCAATTTAAAAATCAAAAGTTGCAGTCATTTCCGGTGAAACAGGAAGTGACCGAAAATAATTATTGAATACAACATTAAATTAACGAACATATTTTTGTTTTTTCTTAACATTAATATTATTTTGTGTATTTTTCAGGGGTTTGTATACGAAACTGTGCCCAATGCAAGAAGATGTTTGGACCATATTTCGAGGGACAGCTTTGTGCAGATGCCTGTGTCAAGTTCAAGGGCAAAATGATCCCGGATTGCGAAGACCTGTCATCTATAGCGCCATTTTTAAGTAAATTTGGACAGTACTAGGTACTGTTCTAGTTTAACTTGCGGGCTTCTTAATATTCTTTGTGATTCGGGAGAAAGTTTACCTTGATTTGGTTGCTACTACAAACTACAACGATTTTCGAGCCTTCTGTATGGAGAAGAAGAAATTGAACAGATGAAATACACTGTTGTGCGTAATTTTATTATGTGTTGCTGTGATATTTATTAATTTTTATGTAAAATTTAAGAAATATATTTAAATAATAAAAAAAGAATACGTATTTTCTGTTATTTTTGGTATTTTTAGGGTTCTGTATCTCAAAAAGAAAAAAAAAGGAACCCTTAAAGGCTTGGTGCATTCTCTGCCGGTGCTGCCACCATCGGAGGATATCGGAAACAACCGGTATATAAAAATACACGGATTTAAATAGAGAGTATACGAAAAAATTATTAAATATTTTTTCTAAAAGCGTTAGGAAGTATAATTTGTGAAAATTCTAAAAATAAAAATATTTTGATATCTTCAGACGGTCTAACTTGTATTATAATTTATTATTCCTGCTAAAAAAAACTTTTTAGATGAGTTCAGCTACTGTAGCGAGCATAGTTTTAATCACCGGTTTTGCTAGTGGGGTCATAATTGGGGCTATTTCGGCTATAACGAATTTTTTTAAAGGCACTATAACATAGGATACAACATTTTAATGAACAGTTCTTTCCATAAAATCCATAAAATAATATAGATGTACTGATTTCTTTCGAAAATAGACAACTATGAAACTATGAACCCTTCCCGGACACAAACGGTACATTATGAGACAGGAAATTGTAGAGACAAACAAGCCCTATAACATAGGATACAACATTTTAATGAACAGTGCTTTCCATAAAATCAATAAAATGAAAAATATACGAAATAATGTACATGTACCGATTTCTGTCGAACATCGACAACTATGAAACTATGAACCCTTCCCGGACACAAACGGTACATTGTGAGACAGGAAATTGTAGAGAGAAACAAGCCATATAACATAGGATACAACATTTTAATGAACAATCAGTAAAATGAAAAATATACGAAATAATATACATGTACTGATTTCTTTTGAAAATCGACAACTATGAAACAATGAACCCTTTCCGGACACAAACGGTACATTGTGAGACAGGAAATTGTGGAGAGAAACAAGCCCTATAACATAGGATACAACATTTTAATGAACAATCAGTAAAATGAAAAATATACGAAATAATATACATGTACTGATTTCTTTCGAAAATCGACAACTATAAAACTATGAACCCTTCCCGGACACAAACGGTACCTACATTGTGAGACAGGAAATTGTAGAGACAAACAAGCCCTATAACATAGGATACAACATTTTAATGAACAGTTCTTTCCATCAAAACAATAAAATGAAAAATATTTGAAATAATATACATGTACTGATTTCTTTCGAAAATCGACAACTATGAAACTATGAACCCTTCCCGGACACAAACGGTACATTGTGAGACAGGAAATTGTAGAGAGAAACAAGCCCTATAACTTAGGATACAATATTTTAATGAACAGTGCTTTCCATAAAATCAATAAAATGAGAAATATACGAAATAATATACATGTACTGATTTCTTTCGAAAATCGACAACTATGAAACTATGAACCCTTCCCGGACACAAACGGTACATTGTGAGACAGGAAATTGTAGAGAGAAACAAGCCCTATAACTTAGGATACAACATTTTAATGAACAGTGCTTTCCATAAAATCAATAAAATGAAAAATATACGAAATAATATACATGTACTGATTTCTTTCGAAAATCGACAACTATAAAACTATGTCGACAACTATATTCCTATGAAACAGGAAATTGTAGAGAGAAACAAGCCCTATAAGGGACATAATTATAATTTTAGATGTTCATAAAACATTTAATCACTAATCGATTAAAAAAGTATATTGCAAATAATATTTTATCCTCTCATAGTATACATATGTCTATTTAATTTTTTGATTATGTAAGGGGCACTTTGTTTACTCACTTGTTTCGTCGAACTGCTGGAATTCGGTTTTGCTTTTGATCAAATCGGTGCACAGTGTGAAATTTACGGGTTGTAGCTGGAAAAAAATATTTCAGCGACTCTTTTAATGAAATATTAGTCTTTTTCGTTTTTATATAAGAAATTTTATCAAGGCAAGGTAGACCATGCACCAAAATAATCGTAGTAGGGCATATACAGGGTCTCTCATAATGTTTGGTACATATATGGGAAACTTTTTTACTATATTATCAGTGATTCATAAAATGTTATTTTTAATAAAAAAATTTGTTGATTAGAGAATAGTTTTGAGGTTAGTAACTACGGAGTTTAATATACGGAGTGTCTAAAATTCTACAAAATGTGGCGTTGCCGAACCAAAATACATAATCTATAAGAAAGGCAAATAAGAAAGTACTATATACAAACAAAATACACTATAAAATGTTTGTGGGTCAAACCGATTTGGAAAAACTATCTAAATCGGAGAAAATCATACAATCGAAGAAAATAAAATAATCAATTGTTGATTTCTCGACGAACCTTACCGAACAAAGAGACTCTATTTGAGGTTTTTCTTTCATTTTTTACTCTTGCTAATACAGATAATCGAAATTCTCCCTTAACCAATCAGAATTTTTAGATAAGAAGATATGTTTATGCTTATTTGCCTTTTTCCGTTTGATCTCGATTTTCTGACAAAACGTCCTGGCCGAAACTCTTATATTTTCTTTGACAGCTCTTGAAAGATTACTAGAATCAAAGCGTTCCAATATAAAATTCACCACAGCGCTTCGCCGCTTCTTTGGAGTGTTAGAAGTACAAACCTCATATACATCCTGACGAGTGAAGCGCGCAGCCATCTTAAAAAATATATATGTATAGCTAAAGCGCACCTAAACGCAGCTAATTTTTTTTATGTCGTATGCTATAAAAAGTGGCCTTTCAAGAAATGACAAAGTTATCGTGGTATTATGTGGTATTATGTAACAAAAACATATTTAAAGTAGCTAAATTACAATTTTTCATAGGTAACTGCAGGTACTTCTTTAACATTTCTTTTCAGTCAAACTATATAGCAGAAATATTTTTAAAAAATGATAGCTTACTACGTAGGCCTAATATAAAAATAATATCAATGTAGTTATTCCGTGAAAGTAAACACTTTTCACTAAAACGCCTGCAAAATTTGACTAAACGGGCTAGATATTTTAGATGATTTTATCGTTTTGTCCGAAAGATAAAGTAATAAGCATTTTTAAATAATAAGCTTGATTTTAAAAATAAACATATGTTTTTTTATTGATGAATGGACATTCCTTGAATAAATTTTACAATAACTTAGGACCTGGGATAAAGTTGGCAAATCGAATTAATTCCACCTAGAACGTCAAAATTTCACACTGTGCGGTGTGAGAAACTACGAAACTATAAAATGTTGTTTCGGGAGAGTTGAATATCCGGGAAACTTAAGTTATTGAATGTTATTGCACCCAACAACGCCCTAATTACGCCCCCCTTTACGTGTTAATATTTTTTCGACAATTTTATTAACATTTGAAATTGTCACAACACAACACAACACCTAGTTCGAATTCTTTTTCAATTATTTTTTAGTACCCGAAACAGCGTTACATCACACAACCTGAGTCTTTTATAGTTTTAATAACTGCACTATTAAAAACTAAATTTCAGTGCGAAAACCAAACTTACTTTTTAAAAATACTATTATTAAAAAAAGGGACAAATACAATTGCAAAAATGTGATTTTATTTTGTTTATATATTACATTACAATAAATAAGACTAGTCAGTTCCAAAGGTATAACATTTTTAACGTCATTTCTTATACAATCGCTTTAAGTACCCTCCAATGGTACCTGGATTGTTACAATCTGGTATTGATAGTCCGTTGCTGGCTACACAAGTGTCACCGCATGTTTTTCCTTCAAAATAGTGACCGTACATCAGTTTACATTGGACACAATTCCTAAAATACAAATAATAAACATGTAAAATACTAATTATTATCATTTTAAATTACTGTTAATGCTTTATTACTTAACAAAAACTCTCTAAATGCTCATCAAAATTTACAAATAATGCATTTGGGAATCATGCATTATTTGTTAATTTTGATTACAAATAATGCATGATTCCCAAAAAAAAATTACCTAACCTAACCGCCCATACTAAAAACTGCTACTTTGACTGATTTTGATGTTATTACAAATTTTGTTGCAAATATTATTCCTAATCTTAAAGTGAAAACCGCGTTTCGCTAGTTACTGTAATTTTGGAGTTACGATTTTTTAAAATTTTAACGCCCTCCCCAAAGCCCCTCCCATACCCCCTTACCAACCCCACCCCCACCAAAAACTAATGGCCAGATTCTCGGGGGCCACAGTATTTTTGTGCCAAATTTGGTTAAAATCGGTCTAGCGGTTTTTGAGTTATCGTGTTACAGACGGACAGACAGACAGACGGACAATTATTAGGTATTATAATTGCTTACTAGGTATTACATTTAAATCTTTTTATATTATTTAGAACCTTTGAAATTGTTTAAAAATTATTTGTGACGTTTGAAAAAAATAGCATGTTCTATTTGGAGTAAAAATGACTTTTTGTGCCACGCTTGTCAAACGTACAGCCTCACCACAAAGAGTGTCATTTTTACTTCTAATAAAACAATATACTATTAGGCAGTACTCCTCCAGGTTTGCTTATTTTTCTAGGTAAGAATCTCTATTTTTATTAAAAAAATAATCGGTGCACTATTAATTTTTGCGCAATATTTTTGACAACACGTAATTTAAAAAAAATCTTTAAGATAGTTGAAACAAACTAACAATAAAATAAAGTCCATTAAGTCTTTTGCCCATAATTTTTTTTTCAGTTTATTTAGTTCTACGTCAGTGTCAAAGCTACAAGAGTTTGACAATCGTCTTTCAAAACAAAACTAGCGGGCCTTTGTTTATCCCGTCAGTTCCCAAATGTCAGTTCGATTCAACAGTCAGGTGACGTACGAGAAAACTCGCGATTTTTCGAATTTATGCCCAACAAATTAGATCCGGACGCTCCCATATTCACTCCACCTCCAAAGAATGCGATGAGGAGCCCGTCGCTAAGCTCATCCGCGAACTCCTCACCAAACACGCCCAAAGAACCTCAATGCTCCAGGTAAATCCAGGTTTTTTACACGTCTACAACATTGCCAAACGTATTTTCCTTTCCTAAAACACTTTTAATTTATTTTTCAAGGTACTCGAGACGCTCGGTGCGTCAGCCACTGTCTCCGAACAGTCCTAGACCGATCCTTGGGACAAAACTACCCTTTCCCAGGCCTATATTAGGTCGAAAAGAAGATAATGCAAGGGATGAAGCGGATGAATACATAGGAAAAGAGTTTAGAAACATGAACAGGAGTTTCCAGAGAATGAAACTCAAAGAGGAGAGTATGATAGAATCGGAAGGAGAGTAGAGTTGAGCTGAGAAGTTGTTCAGAATGATGTCTTGTATTGTTTTATATTTTTGTCTATAATGATAAGATGATTCCGTGATTTTTGGCAAATATAGAAACAGTTTTTTTAAATCGTAATATAGAAAATATTAAATTTGTTGTATTTTATTTTAACCTAAGTTTAAACATATTAAAAGAGTCTGTAAATTTGAGGATTTCTTTATATTTTTACTTACGTTATACAAATACCTATGGAAGATGCAAACGTAGACTTTCCCAATAAAATAATAATAATCAAACAGGTAAGTATACCTAAAATTTTTACCTAAAAACAGTTTGTTATTTACTAAAAACTGAAATAAGATAAAAACAAAACTAAATAATATAGAGCTTACCATGGTTTTATATCAGTTGCTAGGAAGACAGTAAAATCGTGGAAAAACTTCCTTCGTCATTTTCCTTTTATATAGAAGTGGAAAAACTGTAGGAGTCTCATTAGAAGTTGAGAGATATGAATCTCATACGAAAACAACAATGGCATGTCGTAGAAAAATATGTTTATGTTGTTTTCGTATGTTATAATATACAGTATTTTATTGTCTTCAAATAATGCATTTTTCTATTTTTGTCTGATATTTTTTCTTTAACAGGATGATTTCAAATAAAAATATATTTATTTTTTAACTCAACTTTCAAAAATGAACTAAACATACATTTTTATATCGATATTACCTTAGACTTCTACAGAGTGTCTCAAATA